CTGTATGTTGGTTGTTGTGGTAAACACAGTATGCAGCTCCCACGCCATTGTCTGTTTTGGAGCCATCGGTGTAGATTTGTACCGTCGTTGTCTTGCTAGCTCCAGTACTTGTTGGTAGGTTAGTGTATTTACGGCTAGTCTTATGGGCCGGGTGGACGATATGTGTTTTTATCTTTTGTTGATAATCACCCGCTTTTATGTTATATTGTGTGTTTTTTTTATTGAATCTAAGTGTGTTAGCTAGTAGTGCTTCTTTTTGGATTTGCAGGTACAATGGCGGTAAACCTGCCATAACATTCAGACCTGGTGTGGGTGCTGTTTTGAATGATCATGTTATTCTGACTAGTAGGGACCGCTGCACCTTGTGCAGCTCTTTGATCGCGGTTTTATTTAATTCTGTACCCAATGCTGCTGCAGCGCACGTAAAGGCTTTTTCTGCCACTGTCTTGTACCAATGTTTGAGCATTTTAGTATTAATGCCCCAGGTCCTTGGGGCTAGTTTTATGAGATTATTGTGTAGTGTTGTGGCTCTTGTTCTTAGTGATTTAATGGGTTCTAGGTAGTTTAGATGATGATCTAATATTATAGCTAGGTATTTGATGTGATTTACTGATTTTATTGCGTTACCGTCTATTTTGATTATTGGTTGTCTCTGCTTGAAAGGATTATTAAAAGTGATGTAGTTGATAAAATCATAGTATTTCTTCTCCACACGGATATGCAAGTTTTCCTGAATAATCGAGTTTCTTTTCATCTCGTCCTAGAGACAGGCACGTCTTCCTAAATCCAAAAATTAAGAGGCACTTTCCTAGATATATCGGGTTGTTCGATAATTAATGTCTTTTTTTTCTCATAGATGATTTGAATTGCATATTTAATGCAGTAGTGATTGCGTGGCTTATATTATTGTATTCTATTTTAAAGATTAGACTTTCTTTAGTCAAAACCAGAGTGTCAACAACAAGTTGGTTAAAAATTTAGTTGAAAATGGACACTCAAAGAGAGCGTCATATTTTATTGTTTTACTTCCGAAAGGGCAAAAATGAGGTGCAAGCTCGGAAGAAATTGTGGGAAGTTTATGGTGAGGACTGCCTTACTGAACGCCAGTGTCAGCGTTGGTTTGCTCGCTTTCGTGCTGGAAATTTTAATTTGCAAGATGCACCACATACTGGACGTCCAACCACTACTGATGACGACAAAATAAAGGAGTTAATCGAAGCTAACCGGTGTATGACAACTCGAGAGATAGCAGAGAAGCTCGACATATCGAATTCAACCGTTTACTTGCATTTACAACAGCTTGGTTACTTAAACAAACTGGATGTTTGGGTTCCTCACGAATTAAAGTAAATCCACCTCACCAAACGCATTAACATATGCGAAACTTTGCTGAATCGTAACAAAAACGACCCATTTCTGAAAAGAATCCTAACGGGTGATAAAAAATTGATTGTTTAC